GGAGGGTCGGGGCCGGCACGCCGGCGGCCTGGCCGTTGCGGGCGGCGATGTGGAGCGGCCTGCGGGCAGCAGCGACAGGAAGGGCCTTAGGGGGACAGGGACGATCCCAGGGCTGGGGCTGCTCCCGTGGGAGCAGCGCGGGAGAACCGGGGTTCCCAGCTGGAGCCCGGAAAGGACGGATCCCCACGCGGCTCCGCTCCCGGGAGAGCGGCCGGCCTTCCCGGCCTCCAGCGCCGCGCGCGGGAGCCGCTCGCGCCGCGCGCCCCGTGCCCCGGCCAACCCGCCAGCTGTGCAAATACTCACATCTGCAGAGCACTGTTACTTGCATTGATAAGGCCAAGGTCGTGGGTTTCCCCCAGGATCAACAAGGCACACTTTTCATGACCCTGGAAAGGAGAGCGGGTTGTTCACACTGCACGAGCACCAGGCTGGCGTGGCGGAGGGCACCCGAGCACTGTCTGAGCGGGATGTGATTCCCAGAAGACGGAGCTATTCCCTAAACTCCTCCTCCCAGCACTGTTTACTACCTTGGGAGGGCCCGAGGGGCAGATGCTGCCTCCTCCATCTCTCTTGGCAGCGCCTGCTGTTTTTTTTGCATTGAATACATGGATTCCAAGCCTGCTGCGTGCACCGTGTCCGGGCCCCGGGAAGCACAGGGGGCTCCGGGCGCTCCCCGAGGCGGGACACCCCTCTCGGCCACGCGGTTGCAAGGCCAGCACGGGCACGGCCGGCGGGCGCCCGGCTCCCTACCTTGCTGCAGGCCAGGTGAAGAGCTGTGTTCTTGTTGACATCCAGCACAGTTATATTTGCTTTTGCTCGGTACAGCAGGAACTCTGAAATCGAGAGGGGAAGCTGCCGTTGAGGAGAGGAAGCACCAAGCCCGGCAACACGGGGCTGTGGCCACGTGCTGAGGGGCAGGAGAGGGGCCGAGGCCCCAGCAGCCCCAGGAGAGGAGAGGCCTGGGGTCCTGCTGCCACGCAGGTGGGGACAGTCCCCAAAGAACAGCCAGAAACACCACCTTGCCCGAGCAGCAAATCCTCCACCCTGCCGTTAGCAGCTGGAGGACCCGGAGCAGGACGGAGCTGCAGGGCGAGCAGCACGTACCGACCGCGGCGGTGTGCCCGTTCTCGGAAGCCACCATGAGGGGAGTCCTCCCCAGCTTGTCAGTCATGTCCACCTCGGCCTGGTGGCGCAGAAGCAGCTGTAAACCATGGATGTTGTCTGCAAAGGCAGCAGCGTGAAGGGGAGTCCTGCGGGGAGAGAGCGCGTGAGGAGCATGGACAGCACCAGCCCCGCAACACCGCCCCGGCCCCGGACAGCGCCGCGGATTCTGGCTGTAGCAAGGGCAGGGACAGGGGAATTTGCTTTGCGTTGCTGCCACCAGCCAGCCCC